CATCACCATCATCAGCAACAGCAGCAGGAGGATGAGTAGTGGGCGGCAGAATTACCTTTGAATAGAATGTGATGAGTTTCGAAGCAGTCCGCGGATGCAAACACGATCCAACCCAAGCCATCACATGGGGTCGCGTCGGGTTTCATCGCAAAACAGCCTTGATCGAGTCCTTGGAGACGTTAGTGAAGAGTTAACCATCAATCCCACACCTACATGCCTCAAGCTCAGGGATGGATGCCTTCGGCCTGCATCCAGAAAGTGAGATGTGGCTTTCAGCTACTCGAATGATGATTCGAAACATCCCCGCCCGCTGCACAGAGGGGGAGCTTCGCGGCATGTTAAACAGCGCGAAACTTCCGTACAAGCTGGAAATGCCTAAAGGGGGACCAAGCAAGTGCAAGGGCTTTGCCTTTGTAACTATGCCCCAGGCTTTTATGCTTGTCGTGCTTGCACGTGTGCTTTGGCAGAGCAGTGTACCCACGAGGGAGAGCGGTCGCAAACTGAAGATTCACCCGGCCGATATGACGCTGGCAAAGTTTGCCGGCCATGATTTGCTCTTGGAGCTATAGACTCTCCTTGCGAATCTTTTTGCGGACCGGGCCTGCACAGAGACGGAGGTCGGTGGACTATCGGCGAAGCCCCTAAGCACAGGATGTTGGGCTTGTTCTTTCAATTTTGGATTGCAGGTCGTCTTGACCAAGTTGTTTTAGGGACATCGTTTCTGAGGATATGCTGGCGGTGGTTATATCATCGTCCTCACCACTTTCATCAACACACTGTCATCTCCAGCAACATCACGGTCACCATCACCAGCATCCTCAACCATAAACTGCCATGAACCATCTCGCAAAATGCACGGCTGAGGGCGTTTCGGCGTTTCCACCACAGCGATTTTGACACTGCGTCTCTCGTGCAAGCATTGGTCCAGCGTGTTCTGCAGCAAAAAGTCACGTGAGGTTGTAACTAGGGTTACTAGCAGTGCGTTGAAAGGGTGGCGTGACTACTATCTGACTACAGCTGTTGCTGTTGATGATGCTTGCGGATGCCTTCAAGAGCAGCAGTTCTGACAGCACCTAACCAAAGATCCCTTTTTTTCTGAACCCTAAACCCT